TGATTTTCTAGAAATGAATTCATGTTACGAAGATACAATAAAGTGATGCTTACTCAGGTGATTGTTTCCTGCCATCCTAACAATATTCTCCATAGCTGTAGACGACATGTTTAGTGACTCGCGATCTGGGCTCCTTTTAGTGCCGACATTCGAATATGCCATGAAACAGATCTTTCCAACCATTTTCCTATATCACACTAAGGCGAACCCTATTTGTGTGACAGCGATAGTAAGTATGTAGAATCCATTTGGAAGGCTTTGTTTTTGGAAAATCCCTCCATGTACATATTTGTAATATGTTCTTACTGACTCTTTCCGTGCTACATTTTGGTGGTCTGTTTAATCCCATTTTCCGATGTTGATATTTGTATTTTGTTATAGTTTTTAATTCTGTACCTTTATTGGAGTTTCTGTGTTTTCTACTGAAGTGTATTATGTTGTTTATGTTGATACTTAATTATGGCTGAAGCCATATCGGATTTGATACTTTGACGAATAAAACGTGAATCTGGACTGGAAGGGTGCAATTTCGGACCTATACGGAAGCATTCTTCCAGAATTGAAAACCCATTGTTGTTTTTGACGGAGAATAGTGTATTATTGTTTAAGTAATTCCTGTAAATTTTGATTAATAATAGAACCGTTTCTTACACAGATCAACTGCTTTCTTTCTGGATATCCGGGAAAGGCGCGTATCTAAACTTCTAGAACTGTTTTCAGAGTCCACTGTAAAACTTCCAAGAAGCCTGATACGGATTCAGTGGGATGAGTTTATTTCAAGTAATCGTCCATGCAGACAGACATGAGAATTAAATGTGCACGAGTAGATGAAAGCTTAGTGGAAAATTAGGGCAAGCCGACTCAATCTAAAGAGGCATGACTAAGCATTCATACTCAGACACAAATAAGACAAACATGAGATAGAAGGAGTAAGTGTTTACGGACGCACTCAAGTAAAAAGGACCACGATATCAGCAAATGATTGACATGGTCATATGAAGTGTGGATAGTAATTCGGGTAGAAAACGTGTATTATTTTGTCTGAAATAGGGTCAAACTCTGTGAGCTCAGCAAATTAGTACATTTTTTACACACTCAAGTGAGATATGCAGATGATAGTGGTCCACATCCTGCCTGAATCTTTTTTAAAGTTTGGGACGATACATGTAGTTTTCCATTTCCTGGATAGTAGACCTTACTCATAGAACAGATTAAGTATCTTAGTAAGCAGGACTAGTATATGTGAACAATTATATCTGGTTATATCAGCTGATATTCCATCATTACTAGTTCCGAAGGAAGGTTTACACGATCTTACAGTATCTTTCAACGTGATAGACGTGAATTCGGTTTCTACTAATCATGTGTGTTGAAACTGCTGGACATGTTCTTATATCGCTTGAGTCCAGTGAATATCTGAACAGAAACTTTTGCTGGATCTTTTAAAAGCTTATTATTATCCTTAAGGACAGTAGAAATATTGGAATAAACACGAAGTTTTTTTGAGTGGCCCTTAAAAGTTAGCTCTATTTTTTGAACTGAAAAACCTTTCTGCTTTTAATTCTATCGTTCAATGTAAGTCTTTAATTTTCATAAACTGACTAGATGTTGAGAATACAGGAAGTGTCCCACTGAGCCAAATATCTTTCTCCCAACTTTCTTTAGTTAAGATTTGAATTCGGCAGGAATGTAATTACAATAAAAAGCATACAGTTTTTTATCAAAGTTGGAGCAACCACCTCCAAACAAGTTTCCTGATTTCAGTAAAGAAAATCCGTAAAAGTAATAACACTCTTCGAGGAAAAATCCTCATGTCTGGATATCGACTAGAAGGATCCGTCATAAAGCTAAAACAGTTAAAAAGGATCACTGGTGATGAAGCTTGATTGTCATTCATTACACCACTGTACGTAGAGAATATCTTTAAAAAGTGGGAATATCAGCCCCAACATTTGTAGACAGCAAAACATTAATATTGAGGGGATGAGAGTTACCGAAATATAGGGTATTTTTTGAAGGAGAAGCCTAAGAGTCACATAGGACTTTTTAGTCCAAGTGGTATTCAGAAACTTTAGCCTGGTGATCAAGAAGACTGGCATTAAGGACATTAAGTGAATTACTTGATATTCTAACCATATTATGGGCAATTAGGTGATTTTACGTTACTGGTGACAGACGGTTATTGTTTAGGGAGAAGTTGGTCTTGTGGATGTCCCGATTCTTAGAACTTCAAGGGTTTATTCTGAAAAGTTTGCAAGCGTCCAGATTAGTCATAGTGGTGACCAGGCATTCCTAAACACTGGACTGATTGGGGACCAACAGTCCTCTTTTTGCTGTGGCGTGGATCACTGTCGTGAGCAAGTGCATGTTGAACGTAAAGCTGCCGAGAAGTTTGTGGGCTCTTTCACAGAACGTCGTACAATTTCGTATCACCAAAAGCAAGTGCCTATAGCGTTTAGCACATTTTCTAGGGGGGATTTCCACTAAGATGAGATGCTAGAGTTTTGCCCAGCTGTGCTAAAGTATTAATAAAGTGCAACTAACTTGAGATTCTGAAGTAGCTGAGCGTTTAGCCATGGGACGGATAGTTGTAACTGTTTGATTTACAATTCTGATTGATAGAATAGACGTTTATGTAGCGGTCATTAATTTGACTGTTGCTTTTGCAAATATTGGGCTCCTTGGTTTGAAGTTCTTCAGTGATTAGACACTGAATCATTTTCCAGTCACCGATAGATATATTCTTCTCAATATCGGAATGAGATTAAGTAATGACTGACTGATGATACTTAGGTTAAATAGAATGGAAAGGAAGACTTTAGCATGGAATTTATTTAACCTTCTTTCTACGAGTCAAGAGTAGGACGACCTACGCATTTCAAGACGAATGTTTTTGATAAACTTCAGGTTTTCACTATCAGGTGTATTATAAACAACGACATTTTGCATACACTGAAGTCTTTTCAACAATTCTTGAGTATTTGTTCAATTAAAATCTCAGTTCCTCACAATTTTGACACTTGGATTTTCTGGAACACTGATCAACGTTAGGGTTAAGTTACCTTCGACTTCTTTGAGAATTACCAGTGATGAAAGAACGATTTTGATGTAAAATTACATCAAAATCGCTAGGATCGTAAAGCCTGAGAATAGACTTGATTATCTAGAACTGTCTTGACATTTGTATTGAAAATTCTGTCCTTGGTATTAGCAGCAGTTGTTTTGAATTCTAGACGTTCTTTAATTGTAAAGATTTAAGACGAGGAAAAAGTACCATCAGATTGGAAAGAAGAATACCTGATCAAAGTACCAAAGAAAGGCGATCCCAGCTAGTGTGAGAACTGCACAGGCATCACTCTTCTTTCAATACCAGGCAAAGTCTTCAACAGAGTATTGGACTTCGTAGACGCTCAACTTCGAGATCAACAGGCTGGATTTCGTAAGGATCGATCGTGTACTGACCAAATCGCTACATTACGGATCATTGTGGAACAATCTATTGAATGGAACTCACCACTCTACATCAACTTCATCGACTACGAGAAAGCATTCGATAGCGTGGATAGGAAAACACTGTGGAGACTTCTTCGACACTATGGTGTGTCTGAGAAAACAGTTAACATCATGCGGAATTCTTATGATGGATTCAACTGCAAAATCATACACGAAGGACAGCTAACAGACTCTTTCGAGGTGAAGACCGGTGTCAGGCAAGGTTGCTTACTCTCACCCTTTCTCTTTCTCCTGGTCATCGACTGGATTATGAAGACGTCGACATCTGGAGGGAAGCACGGTATCAACTGGACAGTTAGGACGCAGCTGGACGATCTGGATTTCGCAGATGACCTGGCTCTTCTATCGCACACGCAACAACAAATGCAAGAGAAGACGACCAGTGTAGCGGCAGCCTCTGCAGCAGTAGGTCTCAACATATATAAAGGGAAAAGTAAGATTCTACGATACAATACAACATGCACCAACTAAATCACTCTTGATGGAGATTGTTTGGAGGACGTCAACACCTTTACATATCTGGGCAGCATCATCGACGAGAAAGGTGGATCCGATGCAGATGTGAGGGCGCGGATCGGAAAAGCAAGGGCTGCATTTCTACAGTTGAAAAATATCTGGAACTACGAACAACTTTCAACCAAAACCAAAATCAGGGTTTCCAATACAAATATGAAGACGGTTCTACTGTATGGAGCGGAAACTTGGAGAACTATGGAGGAAATCAGGAAGAAGCGGTGGAAGTGGATAGGACACACACTGCGAAAAGCACCCAACTGCGTCTCGAGACAAGTGCTCAGATGGAATCCTCAACGTCAAAGAATAAGAGGAAGGCCAAAGAACACTTTGCGCCGAGATAGAGAAAGATATGAGTAGAATGAACAAAATTTGGAGAGAAACGTAAGTAAGTAATAGCGTTTTTATAGAGAGTCGGTTTTATACAAGGAGCTATGATGTCTTTTGCGTTGTATCAATCCTATTAGACGTTATGTAGGGGTAGAGATCAGGTTAGTGCCAGAAATATCAGACCCCTCTCAAGAGGGATTGATGAAACATCTTAATTTCTGACTACTGTCGACTTTAAAGACGGGTTTTCAAGCTGGCACTTTATTTAGTGACTTGACTTCAGGTAATCTTAGTCGTTTTGGTATTTTTAAAACAGGTACTCGTACAGGATCAGCGGGAAAAGTTCGAAGACACAATAGTTGAGTCGATTTGGATTAAGACTGAGAGATTTTTAAAGATTGGTCAACGACTTGAACGTCATAAGCAGACGGTTAGGCAAAGACATGTGACGTTTTTGGGAAGTGTGATTAAGATTTATAAATATAACTTTTTAAATCATTCGCCCGGAACAACATCCCATCTATCATTCTTAATGCACACATACGAGTCAGTCATTTGTTTAAGTCGTTCAGTAACGTTAGCAGTTGCTGCAGGCGCAATTCATCCCGGTCGTCAAGGTTATCTTGTCGCTCCTGCCCACGATAATGAGAATTGAGGAGGTTCGTAGCACATCAAAGACTCAGAGGATAGCAGCTCATACACACATTAAGGGTCTTGGGTTAGATGAAACCGGCACTGCTCTATCAAATGCTTGTGGGCTTGTTGGTCAGGAATGCGCGCGTGAAGTAATGTTTTTTTCTGCGATAAACTTTTACATCAGGCTGCTGGAATTGTGGTTGAGATGATCAGATCAAAGAAAATGGCCGGGCGTGCAGTTTTAATGGCTGGGCCTCCAGGTACTGGAAAGGTTAGTACAGTCTAGTATACTCATATTAGGAAAAAATTCCTAACGAAGCTCAAACCGATACTTTTAATCCCAATTTTGCTGTTCACAGACTGCAATTGCTTTGGCCATCGCCCAGGATCTTGGTGGTAAAGTCCCATTTTGCCCAATGGTTGGAAGTGAGGTTTACTCGTCTGAAATTAAGAAGACGGAGGTTCTGATGGAGAACTTCAGACGAGCGATAGGTATTTTGGTCAATCATTTCATCATAAAAGACCATAGGCTTGCGCATAAAAGAGATCAAAGAGGTTTACGAAGGAGAAGTGACCGAATTAACTCCTGTAGAAACAGAGAGTCCAACTGGGGGTAATTCATTCTGATTCTTATTAACTCTCAGGCTTTGGCAAAACCATCAGTCATGTTATCATCAGTTTACGCACAGCAAAAGGTGTCAAGCAATTAAAGTTAGACCCATGCATTTACGAAAGTCTCCAGAAAGAGCATGTTGAGGTCGGGGATGTAATTTATATTGAAGCTAACTCCGGTGCAGTTAAGCGCCAAGGCAGATGTGATGTTTATACTGCTGAATATGATTTGGAAGCTGATGAGTATGTTCCACTACCGAAAGGTGAAGTTCATAAAAAGAAAGATGTGGTTCAGGACGTCACACTTCATGATCTGGACGTTGCGAACGCCCGACCACAAGGGGGACAAGATATTGTCTCAATGATGGGTCAGCTCATGAAACCCAAAAAAACGGAAATTACAGGTGAGGTGTTTATTCTTCTCCTACAAACTAGTCTAGGTCTAATTTCTCTCTGATAGTGTTTAGGTGTTTGGTATAATATCCATATTTTGATAGAATGTGAATTAATTATTAATATGTATGTGGAGTTCCAGACTTCTCCGAAAGTGTTGTTTACATTATTCTAAATATTCAGTTAATTTCATGGTTGCGAGATATTGATAGTTAATCAGCGTAAGTCAGAAAGCGTAAGATTACATCAAAGTGTTAGTTTGATAAGATTGTTTAACCACTGAGGTTCATAAACTACTCCAAGCTTGGATTAATGGGTTCTTCATGATTACCTGACCATTGTTTGCGTGGATAAACTCAGGCCCAAAAATAAAAATCTAATAATCAAGAAAACCTGACAAACATTAGTCCTAAACTTTGCTCAAAAGCAGTAAACTGACTAAATCAAAAAGTATCCAGGTTTTATCTTGAGTACTTCATTAGTTTAACCCCGAAATAGAAATACTCAGCGGCTCATAATGTTCCTCGTATTAATTAATTGAAGGAGATACAAGCAGGTATTCTAAACAGCTGGATGCATCTTTTGCGTTCTCTTTAGCGTAAATTTTTACGGTAAGTTGTTTGAGAGTTACCTGGGGTCACTCCTTTCCAACCCGGAAAAACGTGACAATAATAATGATTTTGTAAGAAAAACAATGGGGAATGGTCACTGTTAAATATTTAAATACTATCAATCCATACAGGGGGTTTTGTTTCTAAAAAATATGATGCTAACAACAGTTCTATGTGCAAATACTTAACTTGAACCCACACTTAGATGTCGGGTTTAGCGTATAATAAGTATTAGATGCGTATTCATATCCAGCCATTAACTAATATTGCGTCTTGATTCCCTCATCTATAACCTCCTTCTGATACTTTCCCCGTTACTGCAAACAGCAGTTTAAAAAAATGATAAAAATATTTGTAGCACGTACTCAGATCTCCCGATATAGTCTGTGATGATCAGCCTGGGCTGTGACATCTTGAGTCTAAAGTTGATCATTGTCATGAACAGCTGTCAAAGAATGGTTCATTGTCTGTTATCTGGATTTAAAATTCGAAGACGCCTGCCAGACCTTTTTTCACCTAGCTTATTCTGACTGCCTACGTATTACAATCACTCAATACAGTGTCTATATCTAGGCATCCAGTATCCTTTAGAGGGTCAAAAAGTCTCATAATGTCACCGTTTACTTCGCCCAAACTGCAGTTAGTGGGATTATGGACAGGGATGAAAAATAAAGGGCTTGGAATCTGACTCCCTATAGTTCCATCCTGTTAAATAACATATACTTCTGTGTTAACTACTGTACATTCTTACGATTATGAAATACAGTTGGGTGACTGAATAAAAAAAATAGGCCATGTCAATCCCTGGATTTTATTTCTATGAACTAGAATTTTACAAAATATTTGGTGCTTATGTGATCTACAGGATTGGTCGTCTTGTCATTACTTGCTTACTCGGTTGTCCCACGGTATACGAGCAATGCTTCTTAAACATCTATGATCGAATACTAGTAACCTAGGAACATCTTCTACTCTTAACGGTCATGTTTCGCATCCATTTAAGAGAATGGAGCGAACTTCTGCGCAGTAGACTCGTCCTCTCGTCAGCGAACGGATATCTCGCCTACGCCATAAGTGACGCAGGTTGGCAAAAGCCAATCGAGCTTATGTATCCGGTTTGTGTATTGTAAAGTATGATGACTTAGACCGACTTTATTTCATCCGGGACTGTCACCTTGTGCTACCTTCTGAAATTCAAGGCGGCATTCGACTCAGTGGATCGTAGGGTTCTGTGGCAGTGTCTGTCATTGAAAGGTGTACCAAAGAAGTACATTAACCTTATACAACTCTGTACTCGAAAACCACTGGTCGGGTGAGAGCTTATGGCGAACTGTCACCGGAATTCTTCACTTCAAGTGGTGTCCGTCAGGGATGTCCACTTTCTCCATTCTTTTTTAATTTTATCATAGACATGCTCCTAGACATAACATTATCCTCGTCTGAATTTTCAGGAGTAGACCTTCTACCAGGTGGCTCGCTTATTGACTTAGAATATGCCGATGACATAGTTCTACTTGGTGAAGATGCTGACAAAATGCAGTCTTCTTACTACCCTAAGCAACAGTGCGAGCATTTTCAAGATGCGGTTTTCCCCCTCGAAATGCAAAATGTTGCTTCAAGATTGGGTTTCATCGGCACCTGAACTAGTGATAGGGAGTGAAGTAGTCGAACGTGTAGACCGCTTCACTTATCTTAGGAGTCTCATCAGTGCTGATGGCCTGGTGACTGACGAAATCTCAGCACGGATACAGAAGGCTCGATTGGCTTTTGCCAACCTGTGTCACTTATGGCGTAGGCGAGATATCCGTTTGCTGACTAGAGGACGAGTGTACTGTGCAGTAGTTCGCTGCGTCTTACTTTATGGCTGTGAAACATGGCCAGTGAGAGTAGAAGATATTCGTAGGTTACTGGTTTTCGACCATAGGTGTCTTCGAAGCATTGCTCGTGTACCTTGGGACAACCGAGTAAGCAATGCTGTCGTTAGGAATCGGGTTCTAGGTTAGGATGGCAGATCAATCGATGAAGTGGTGAAACTTCATCAGCTGAGGTGGTTGGGACATGTGTTGCTTATGCCTAACCACCGACTGCCTCGTCGAGCTTTGTTTTGTAGTGTAGGAGTATGTTGGAAGAAAATTTAGGGGCGGCCAGACCAAAACATGGCAGAAATCCATGACGTCATTGACGAGTGGACTGAGCCATGTCGGTAATTGTCGACTACCTGGTTGGGGTCCGCGAGATGATAATAATCGATGGTTAGAGACCTTGAATGACATGGCTCAAAGTCGTTCGCAATGGCGCAGGTGCATTTATTCTCTGTGTTCTCTCAAATCCTAATCTTCTGGATTCTACAACACCTCTACTTTTGACTTTCTAAACTTATCTCATTGAATGATACTTCTTTTTGATTTGACAATTACATCTCTGTGCTGATGTGGTATGGCGACATGAACTTATGTACTTACGTACGAAGTTCTACGTTGCATCTGACTGACTGACTCTGAAATTCAAGAGGCGTTAACAGTCAAAACCTAAAAAATTCAAATGGAGTAGTAATTAGTAAATACAAAGTTGCTTGACTATCATGTTTTGTCTAGTAAATACTTATTCTGATTTTGAAACATTTATTTGCTGATGGGATAATTTAAAAAGTAGTAGCAAATTTTTTTGTTGCCTGAATAGATAAACTAAGAAAGGAAATCAACAAGGTTGTTAACAAATACATAGATCAAGGTATCGCTGAACTCGTTCCCGGTGTATTGTTTATTGATGAAGTACATATGTTAGATATTGAATGCTTCACGTATCTTCATCGCGCACTTGAATCAACAATCGCACCCATCGTTATTTTCGCTACCAATCGGGGAAAATGTACCATCAGGTATGTTTTATTTGTATAAACACGGTGCATTCACTAAGAACATTTATCTATCCTGTCTTTTATTCTTTAAAGAGGCAGAAATCATACAGTCCTACAATTCCAATTAACTTAAGCCTTTTATTCCATTATTTTACCTGTTTTACTTGGTACACTTTAAAGAGTCGAACTGATACAAAAATGATTGATACAATGATAATTATTTATGATTCCGATTCATAAGTAATGATTTATGACTAAACTATCACAATATTGTATATAGAACAAAATAATAAGGTTTATAAATTGTGCACTTCATGTACTTTGGAGTGATCAATTTAAGAACCATAAATAATTGACTAACTGAGTGACTAACATCATTCTGAAAATACTAGTAGTAGACTTTGTTACTCACACTAAACTACTTGGTTCATCGCCATCAGTAGAATAAAAGTGTTACTATGGATAACGAAGTAACGTTTAAGACGAGTAGAATTGGCTTCTGGTTCTTGAGCGAGCATCAAATGGGATTCAGGTACGCCCAGCTGACGAATCCTAGATCGGATGAAACATGCACCCTGGATTCCACTACTACCCCAAATTCTACATTCACTTGTGTCATAATGGCTATATAGATGGGATCCACACAAGATGCACATGTGTCAACCGAAACCGGTCAAATCCCAGTCAAAATATCAACAACGGGACAATCTAGACCATTTTGAATCGAAATAGGTATTATTATGGTTCCTCCAGCTGCTACTAGTTCACTTTCCATGTACCACTGCCTAGAATTTCGGCTACACAATGATTTCTGTTATAAATTAGGATCTAGAATCATTGTTGCGAAATATTCTATTTATCAATGAAGTATCTGCCAATTATATAATTCAATCAGCTTTTAACTAGGTCATGTTGCTTAACTATCCAGGTTTTGTTGCCGAACGGTTGTTGTAGAACGTACACGCTTCATTTACAAATCATGTGCCTGGAAGCAAATTTCTACCCGTATCATTTTATATCCTCTAAAACAAAGCTGCATTAATTAACAGCCTAATAGAAAGAAATTATATGATCTTTAGTTATGTAAATGTATTGGGTACCGTTACACGTAATATCTTAAGTGTTATTGTATTCTCCGTTATCCATCTAATGGTAGATTCTTTACTGTCACCCTTTCTTGTTACCTGTTTATCTGAGCAGCTAACCGAAATAGCAAGATGTTCTGTGTTCTCATGTTGCTTGAAATACACAGTCTCGGCTTCACGTTAATTTGATTTGATCCCATAACGTCCACATACACCTTAGTAGAATCCGTAGTTGGAAAGTAAGGCGTATGTCGTGACATTATTTCATTGTAGTCAAGTGGTTATTAATCCTGTTATCTCTTATTCCCTTGATTAGACTTTTGGTACTAGTGGAAATTAGTATTCGTCATCTTAAGATTGAACTATATATGCATTGAGATTTCTCCCATTATCACCAACAGTATGAATTTTAAATCACTGACTGGTATACAAGCTGAGGGGAACTGCAACGGCGAGTAGCTGAAGATATGGTATTAATCGACAAATTCATTAAATACTTGTTTAAGTGGTATCATTAGGTACAGGTTTCCCATTTGAACTCCTCAAAATACTCGTAATCAGTGGTTGCGAATTTTGAGTGATCCGTCAGTCAGTCAGTCAGTTACAACATAGAACTCCGTACTTACGTACATCAGTTCAAGTTGCCATACCACATTAGCACAGGGTTTCAAGTGATATGGGGAAATATCTGTTTTAGTGATGTTAGGATTATTTTTTCATCACGTCCTCATCTTATTAACCTCCTTTTTCATTGTCTTACTATGAATGGTGATCACTTAAGTCAATCGATATTCGTTCCTTGCCCTTTGTTGGTGAAAACTGACTGATATTAATAGACTTCTCGTATTAATGCGTGGTGTGAGTCAACATGACAGGCTTTCGACTTCGAAATAAACATTTCTACTCAGTTGATGTTTGTTACTAAAAGTTTGTACAATGCATTAATGTTCGGATATATATAGCTATAAAATAATTAATTTAATATAAAAATCCTTTTCAATGAATTCATTTTCGAAATTGATGAATCGTATATACCTAATAAGTAAGTAAACGTTTTTTGTTTGAAAGAATATTATAGTTTTAAGAATCAACTTATTGCAAAAGATTCTTTCCGCTACAATATACATGCTCAAACATTCCTCTTTCTCTTCTCATTATTTCCGTTTTCATATGATATTTTGTTTTGAAATCCTAATTTAGAGGCACTGAAGATATTATTTCTCCTCATGGAATCCCATTGGACTTACTAGATCGTGTGATGATCATACGTACACTTCCTTATTCTTGTGAAGAAGTAATCCAAATCCTTCGTATACGTGCGCAAACTGAAGGCATAAAGGTATCCGAACAAGCATTCACTTGCCTTGCAACTGTCGCTACAGATACAACTTTGCGGTGAGTTTTCAGTGATTTCGTTAAATTAGGCTTGTTTTCTCCACAATCATAAGTATCAAAATTTTCCTGAGGATGTACAATCTCCAAATGTGGCCTATGAAAAGAAGGTCACTGTCATCCTAAGGCCAAGCTTTAAAACATCTTCTTTACAATACTCTGTGTACCACCCAAGCGGTTCTACTGTTTCTGGACACACTACCAGTGCGTATTTGAATCTCCAGTTAACACTTTACGATCCTTTATACATGCCTTCTTGTAAAACCATTATATTATCGATAAAACTCATCCTTGCTTAAATCCAGACTGCAGTCTTTTAAAGCATTTGTGGGGATGATTAAAAGACGTACCTCACAGCATTTGTTTTTCACTCTGATGTAATTCTTTAACTTAATGGCACGCAAACGGATGCTAACGGAGGTCCTATTAATTACTACCGCCTCTGCTCTAGGGCCTAATGTAACTAAAGTGCCAGAAGGTCCCCAGATAAGCGCATATAAATCGAACTTCTCGAAATAACAGACGGCGAACATTTTTGGGGGCCTACTCAATACTGATATCGAGACTTTCCAAAGACGTAGTCAAACCTATCTGTTACCCGATTTGCGTCTGTAAATGTAACCAGAAGGCTGCTTAAATGGTACAAGTGGTTTCAGAAATGCTAATATGAGATATGACATTCGGTAGGACCATTCAAATTCCATTATACAGCAATGTAAGATCGCTTGAACAGGAAAGAACGCTCACCAGAGACCAAATACTGAGTTGGATGGAAAGTGAAAGTGGACACGCAACTGAAGTAATGAGGAATGCAAAGACAATGCAGCGAAAAACATTTGTTTGTAGTTAGTTATTTATAAATATCGTTTTTATGAGGTAGTGCGGGGACATTTTCTTCACTAGTTATCATATCTGTGTATGCTCTGGGACCGCTGATCGGGCTCGGAAACCAAAACAAGTGGTTTATTTCGGAAGTCACTCGTCTTACGTTTGAACTGAAAGTCTTCGCCGTTATGCACACTTTCTATACACGAGCCCAGTTAGTCGAGAAAAAGGTGGAGAATGAAGAATATATATATATATATATATATATATATATATATATATATATATATGATCAGAAAGCAGTGAAGTAATGTCAGGATGTGCTGTCTCATGATAGTCGGTGACCAAAGTGAATTTGCACATTATTTTCCTCAAGATCTTGGAATTCGTATTTCCACCGTCTTTTTGAAATCTTGGTTTTCCAACCTTCTGGTGGATTCACTGTATCCACCGACCCAATCAAATCCCCATTCGCTTGAAGGCATCCACAGCAGTAGATATTTAAACAGCTTATAAATTTACAATTTCTTTGCATAATATTTGTGTTTTGTTGAATTTCTTTGTCTTTCTACAAATTAACATCTTTTGTTGTCATAGGTATGCTGTTCAACTTTTGACTCCAGCATGTCGTCTTGCTCAGTTGAGTGGACGAGATGAAGTTGATCCTACAGATATCGAAGAAGTAAGGTCTCTATTTCTCAATGCAAAACAATCTGCCAAAATACTTGCAGAACATGAAAGTCACTATATGCGGTGAATGAATGTGATGCCAGAGCGTATGCACAGATTTGTAAACAAAAATACATAATTATTCACTAATACCTTCGCTGTTTTATCTCATTTTGTTGATAACCTATGTTTCCACATGGATTTCAACTCGCGAAAATTCTAGAGCAGTTCTGTCCAGTACTATGATTACACTGTTTTATACTAGGTTTCTTGTTTACACATTTTCAACGGGGCTCCATTCTTTTCATACATATTGGAAAAGTAGTATTCTTTTAATACATGCTTCAATGTTGTGGTAACCATTTACGATACTTATCAACTTTTGAAGAACAATGGTTAAAAATCTCACGATATATAGTGGGTAGTACTAAAAAACCTGAACATTCGTTATTCCAATTGGTTCGCAATAAATAACCTGTAGCAGCTGGGCAAAGGAATGTCTGCACCATCATTATCTTGCCTACTAAATCTGGAGGAGAGTTATGTAGTATTTTACCGATTACAACCGTTGTCTTAGTATTATTCTGCTTATCGGAAACAGATTTCAATGAAATATAATCCATGAGCTACCAGACTAATGTGTGCAGTATCAAGTTTTTTTCAGAGAAATTTTATTGTACTGATGATCAGAAATATTTAGTTTGTGTACAACCATCACAAATGTAAATTTGGATAAATGAGTTATCAAGGGAGTTCAAATTTCGGTAAATAGATCACACACTTCAACAGGCCTCGAAGCAGATAAGATCTCAGAAATACTAAGGCTAAGATGGAAAATCAGTTGTAAAAAACGGTGTTTACTATCTACTGAGTACTTCTGAAATACACAATGTCCAATCTGTAACAACTTAGTTTTTATATGGGTTATGAATTCACAAGACACTCGAGCTTAAAACAGTTCTCCAGTTTCAAATAGCATAAAACTCACTCAGTTCACTATAAGGCTGAATTGAAGGGAGGTGTCTAGATTTTCAGACATTCATTCTTATGTTAGCTGATGCGAAAATTCAGAGCAGTAAGGAGACAAGCTACTCTACGTTTTTGTGATGAAGGCAATTTATATGCATGCTGCTGGCACTTCTGTGTACGTCTGCGATCATGGCTTTGACAAAGTCATTAAAAATACTGTTATAGCTATTTCTTGGAGTTTGAAAACCCTAATTCCAAACCAACAGTGTACATGGATTCGCGGATCCTGAGAAAACAAATGATAAATCTGTCCTTGGTTACCAGCCATCAAAGAACTGCATCTGACGTTTATCCACTGCTATGTGGGTTAGATCTGAAGGGACTGCACTTTTATGGTGGAAACAATTGATTGAATAGAAACATTTACTATTATAACCAACTGTACCAGTGATACATCTTGCACGTTGTTCCTAATTTATTCAAAAAATAAGTTTCCATTTCTCTTCAGGTTTGATAGAATAAGTCAGCGGTAATCTTTTGTACTCTAAAAATAAAACGTTTCCAATGAGATAGTTCTGAGAGTAAATTACAGCCGCGAACTCTAAAAGTGGTAACAGTTTTTCACGTAGCACGAACATGAAGTAATGAAAAATGAAGGACAGACTGCATCTCGAAGAACTTCATTTTTCTACAGCCTTTAATGTTAATAGTGCCTGGAACGAACCCTGGTGGTAATATTTCTTCACGTTGTATAGTTTTCTCCGAGAATTTCACATTTGTAGGGTATTAAACGGACCTAACCAAATTATCTATTATATGCGGTGCAGTTCGCTTCTAAAAAGCAAACTTTCTAAGTTTTTATTTAGTTAATACACAATTGTCGTAGACTAGCATTCCTGAGTACTATATATAAGCCCACAGCAGTTTGGTAACGTTCTTAACTTCCAGATTCAGTTTAAACATACTAATCGACTGATAGTATTTCTTACACTAAATAACAACATCTTATCCATAAAATCTCTCCCTACCTCCACTGATTTGAGTGATGACCCAGGTAATACACAGCAAGTTATACTCTTGTATATCTGCGTTAATTAGACGAGCAATTATCACCCATTTTTCCTTTATGACCAATAATTCGAGTAAAAGAGAAGTATCACCCATTTCTAAACCACTCAAAAAATCGAAATCTGTAAACCCTATGCCTGATGAATCTGTTGTTGGGAGAGTCACACCTTCGTCTTGTGAATCCTATACCTCCTATCCACAAATTTCATCTTCAGCTAGTAATCTGCATGATAACTCCTTCACTTAGTATACGAACAGTGAAACTCGTAGATATAAGAAGTACTACACTCATACTGAAATGTCAACACAGAATAAACATCAGTACAATCTTGTGAAGCCAAAATCTAAAAGTTCACAAACCAAGGCTTCGAATGATCCATCCGACACCGGTCATAAATGTAACCGCCATGACAGCGAGGTACGACAGTTACAAAACTCACGTGCTGAAATTAACGGTAAGCTTAACCAGTTAGCACTCTTAACGCGCATATATGCCTCGATAATAGGAACTGACCAAAGCTGAATACATCTTAGAGTTTATAGCCGAGGACGTTACGAAAAGACTAATTTCTTCCTGCAATGCGATTGCATATAACCTCTCTGGCCGCACATCCACGACTAGACTAAGGGATACCTGTCTTCGGGTGTGTAGTATGACAAACATCAGTTATCAAGTCATACGCCTCAAAAAGATCTGATGATTCAACTTGCCCTCTTGTTTGCTCACATTTGGTTGCCGTAACGATGCCAAACAATTAATCCATTTAGGCAAAAATATTATCTCATAATCCTTGTACAAAGATATCAAGGCTACTTCAGGTATAACGCCTTGTTAACGTCGTATAAAAAGACTAGATCGCATGAACAAACACGCCTAAGGCACCAAAACACTCTTTAACTTTAACTAAGAAGAACAAATAGACTAAATCTCGGGTCTAAATTGCGAAAATGGGTAGGATTCAAAACAGCTACCCGCGACTTTCCTAGACTCACCCCTCCAATGTTGTGTGATGTGCCCCTATCATCTCTCAGTTTTAAGACTGATAATAGTAAGAAAAAATCTGACATTGATCATGTACACAAATATTAATTTTGCAAGAGCAACGTACACTGCACAACTACCAAACCCCGGAGTTATTAATGAATGTGGAAGTAGAAGATTTTTCACCTCCTATCCTATCTTTAATACCCAGGCTTCTAATCGCAAAATCCCCCTGAATGAAAACTCGATAAATTCCATCCCAACAAACCAGCTGGTAAAAATTGCTACCAAATATGGAAAAGGTCACAATAGCTGGCACTTGAACATGGTAAACTGTCTCCAAGTTAAAATCATTACAAATAAATGTAACCATAGTAACGAGTTGTGTCACCACGACCATACTAAAAACGGTGGTGCACTGTATTGTCAGCCTACTCAAAAATTTTCGGGATACAGTCACTTGAGTTACCTCTAGCGCAACATATAGTTCAAGTCATTTTATACCACGTCCAGAAAAAAAAGCACTCCCTCACACAATCTCGAACAGGCAAGGTTCTCACACTTTCACCAGCGCTAACAACCCTTTCTGGAATTTTCAGTAACTTACATAACATGTCCGCTCCTAAACCCTCATACTACACCCATGACACATGTAGTCATGTTTGCGGTTATTTACCGACCATCACTTATACTGATAACTGTGGCATGGACCACCAGTAATATGTCTGATCTAAGTATATCCCTTGAAAACTATGATCTATGTCAAAGTGATAGGTTACAAGGACGAGGCAGAGGATGCCTGATATACGCCCACTGTAGCCTAAACTTACTCCTATGTGATATGTTATAACTAAAATTACAGAATTCTGTGTGGATCGTTCTGAAACTCTCAAATTCAGTTTCCTTACTATTCGGCTGTGTTTACCGTCAGCCTAAAGCACCACCAGATCCACCATTTTTGTCAGAAGTATTCACGTTTGCTTCATGCCAACCGTCTACAGGCAAGGCTATTTGTGGGGACTCCGATATGCTTGAAATCTGTTGGTTCCCAGGTAATGCACCCAAAAGGTTTGAATCACTTCTTGAATGCTTACAGTTTTGAGAATGCACTCAACATCCTGACGGCACAACCAGACATCACAATATATTGGACGTTGCCAGGTAGCGATCATAGTATCGTCACTTGCAGTCTTGGTGTGACTGCATCAGTTTCGATGTGAACAACAGTAGAAGAATAATATTTTGTGCCTAAGCATTTATTCTCTCAGTATGTTGAAAAGTAACGGTAAAGTATATCGGCTAGTCGCAAGATTCATTACATCAAGGAGAGGAGCAAATACAGTCCAAATTCAATCTGTCAAACATGGAAAACTTTCCTCATTCAGCAAAGGATAGTGTAAAACTTACTAACTACATATTTTACGGAAGTATTTATTTCTGAGTTATAAATACAATGGTTTTATTCTGTTAGCATCTTAGTGAATGACTTTCAGTCGCCAATGTTTGGTCATTACGAGCCTCAAGTAAGTGTTTCCTAGAATGAATCCATTCGTACATTTGAAATATTTCCCTCTGCCACATTTTACCTTTATCAGCTTTGTTTTCAAGCTCGTTTTAGTTCTTAAAAATGAAACATAAACTTGGGGTATCATTATTCTCTCCACATTCTAGAATAAAATGTGGACAGAATTCCTAGAAGAAAACCCGCTTTTGCCTAATCTGCTCGTAGATGAAACTACGATTAATAGTAATTGCCTTTTGAAGTTATTGACTCTGTTCCTGCATTATTATTGGAAATATGAGTCTGAGAAGTACCGAGAGCGTATGCGCAACCTCAGCATCATTCATTAGTCGCCCCATAAAGCAAAACGACCTGAAATCGAACAGAATATTCTGCCTCACAGATATGGGTGAATTGAAATGACTGCACTCACTGTCAATGCTTGCTGGTCAGTAACTCCACCCTCCCTCCTTTAGAGTGTTAGGCCCATTTCAAGTGATCGCGAGAAAATATTTTGTGTTTTACTCGACAACCTCTATTTCACACCCTAGGGAGAACCACTATTTCT